CCATAAGAATAATATTGTTCTTCGTCACTACTAAATTCTACTTTTATATTCTGACTTGAAAATGGATTGGTATTCATCTTTATATTTTCAATTTTTTCAGTTAAATCTTCTAACTGTTTATTATATTCTTCATACTCTTCTCCTGTAGATTATAAGAATTTTTGTTCTATTTCTTTTACATCTGTAATCATATATTGTTTTTCTTCATATTTTTTCCCTTTATTATTTTTTTTTTGTGTTATCCTAAAATCTTGAGGTGGATTAATTATAATCCTCTCTTTTCCTCTAAAATTTCTATCTAATAAAGCATTTCCTACTTGTAGATTATGTTCTAGATTTTCTAATTTTTTATGTATATTCCCAAAATTTTCATTTGTAGTATTTTTAGGTAAATAGGGATAACTAGGTTTTTTATGTTTTTCAACTTTTTTCAAAAATTCCTCAATTATATTTTCTTCATCTACTATATTCATCATAATTTTTGGTTCGTAATATGGCTCTGATACCATTTCATCGGAGTGTTCAGGGGAGGGGTTAAGACTTTTGAGCCAGTTAAAATCTTTATAAGTTTCTAAAATGTCACAATAAAATTTATAAAATTCACTATTTTTTATTAAAACTTTTCTTCAATAATTATATTTAATTATCTAATCCTTCTTCTTAGGTTAAGAATAAGTTTATTTATATCATTTTCTGTTTTGATTATATTATTATCTATAGAAACATTTTTATTTTTTAATTTTGGATCTAAATATTCTGTAAAGAATCCTTTCAGATTTTCTTCTAAATATTTTAATTCATTTTCTGTTGCATTTTTTAAATCAATAAAATTTTCTATAATTTTTGGATTTAAATTTATTAAAAATTTATGATCTATATTTCTTTGGGGACCTATTTGAAGATTTTTATACATTGTAATGGCTTTGATTATAATTTCTCTATAAGGGGTATTTTTGGAAAGATTATTATTTGAAAACTATTTTTCAAATGTTTTCATTTTTTAGCCTAATCTTACAAATTGTCATTATCTTTAGGCTATTGGAAGGTATTTCCTCGGTGAATGGAGTTGGTTTTTGATTTAATTCTTTTTATTTTAATTTTTTAAATAAAAAAATATAAAATTGCCTTTTTGCCCTTTAAAAATAGTCAATATTGGTCATTACCTTTAAAAATAGAGAAAGTAACTATTTTTGTCAATTTGAATTTTAGTTATATACGATTTTTTTGAAAGGTTTGGTACTGAGAATATAACAAATTAAAGATTTGGGTCAAGCATGCATAAAGATGAAATGTTTGGTACTGTAACTACAATTTTCCCATCACAAGAACTTTTAAGAAGTTTTATAAAAATCCCTATTGAAAACACCAAAACTTTTAGATAAGCTTTAAAAGTTTTAATTGAATATAACTAAAATTTTTAAATCATTAAAAGTCTTTAAAAATATAAATTTCATTTTTCATTTAATGCTATGTTAGCTCGCTGATATTATTCCACAACAAATGAGTCTATCTTGGCTCCGTTTGACTCCATTATTTCAAATTATAATTAGTGAAATAATATTTTTTAAAAAATAAGTAGTTAAAACATAAGGAGAAGTTTCAGATCTTATTTGGGAGAGATTCTTCCCAGATTTGTAGCAACTTATTGCTATTAGCCGCTGCAACTTTTGACCCACGCTCTCATGGGTGGGTCCCAGTGCAGAAAATAGGGTCAGATTTTGAATGAAAATCCAAGGAAAAAGCAGGAACAGATGAGTTTTTAGATTTACGTGTAATATTATTTTGTGAAAAATTGTGTGTTTGGAAATAGGAGAAAAAAACAAAATCTAATTTAACTGGGCCAAACGGGGATTGGACCAACGAATTCACAGTTGAAATTTTTATTTGTAATAAATCGAGCTGGGGGCTAAGAATCCTACCCTGCACGGACCGCGATAATGGTCATCCGCTTCTGCAGCCCTAGCCTTCCCTCCAAATTCCACGTTCTCATTTTTCAAAACTGCCCAAGTTCTCTTTCTGTAAAATCCCTCTGCTTCTCCTCCTCCTCGACAGATCCGACAACCCAAACCCGATTGCAGGAGGAGATTCGAAAGGTCCGGATATTCCTCCAGCAGAATCGGATTGAGACTGCAAAGAGGCACCTCAAAAATCTGATTTCTTCGCATTCGGTTTCACAACTCTACACTCTTTACTCCGAATCCTCACCACACACCAATACGAAACATGTTTTCAATGACACGATTTTGTCAGTCTATGCTGATTCGAAGCTCCCCAATGAGGCCATCCAACTATACAATTTGATACGGAAAGATGGTAATTTTCCCTCTCTATCGGTTTTTAATTTGTTTCTTGAATCTTTGGTTGGTGCAAGTCAATTTGAGAAGATGCTCGAGATATTTTCTGATGTTATGGATTCTAATATTTGGGTAGATAAATTTAGTTATGGGAAAGCTATACAATCTGCCGTGAAGTTGGGGGATTTGAAAAGGGGTTTGGAGTTGAGGAATCGTATGAAAAAACATGGTTTGAATCCTAACGGGTTTGTGTATAATGTCTTGATTGGTGGATTATGCAAAGCAAAGAGAGTTTGCGAAGCTAAGAATCTGTTTGATGAAATGCTCAAGAGCAGAGTGGTGCCAAATATAGTTACTTATAATAGTCTTATAGATGGGTATTGTAAAATGGGTGATTTAGATCGTGCATTTAATTTGAAGGAAAAGATGAAAAGTGATAATGTGGAGCCTAATATTGTAACATTTAATACATTGCTTAGCGGGGTATGCAGAATGGGTAGGATGGTGGAGGCAAATATGATTATGGAGGAAATGGAGCTCATTGGGTTTGTGCCTGATGGGTTTACATATAGCATAATGTTTGATGCGCATTCACGATGTGGAAATGCAGAGGCTTCGATGGCGTTGTATGAAGAGGCTGTAAAAAAAGGGGTGAGGATTAATGAGTATACTTGTAGCATTTTGTTGAAAGGTTTCTGCAAGGAAGGGAAGATGGATAAGGCTGAGGAGGTTTTGAAGAAGTTGAAGGAAAATGGGGTTGTTTTAACAGAGGTGATGCTGAATACCATGGTAAATGGATATTGCAAAGTGGGTAACATGGACAAAGCACTTTTTGTTGTTGAAGAAATGGAAAATTTTGGGGTCAAACCAAGTTGCATCACCATCAATTCGGTAATCGGCAAGTTCTGTGAGTTGAGTAAGATGGACGATGCCAATGAGTGGTTTAAGAAGATGAGGGAGAAGAAAATTTGTCCAAATGTGCAGTCATATAACATTCTAATTGACGGTTATGGCCGAAGTCGTCAGTTTGAGAAGTGTTTACAAATTCTTGAAGAAATGGAAAATAATGGGTTGAAGCCTAATGTCATATCCTATGGTTCTCTATTAAATTGTTTATGCAAGGACGGCCGACTTCTTGAAGCTGAAGGACTTTTTAAAGATATGATGAATAGAAGCATTTGGCCAAATGTGCAGATATATAATATACTTATAGATGGTCATTGCACAAGAGGACATATAAAAGATGCTTTTACATGTTTTGAGGAGATGTTAAGAAGTGATTTAGCCCCAACCCTTGTGACATACAATGCACTTATTAATGGGCTTTGTAAAAAGGGTAAGGTTGCTGAAGCTGAAGACTTAGCCCTTCAGATAAAAAATAAGGGTTTAAGTCCTAATATTATCACATACAATTCCTTAATCTATGGGTACTCAAATGCAGCTGAAACTGAGAAGTGTTTGGAGTTGTATGAGAAGATGAAAACATCAGGCATAAAACCTACATTATACACGTATCATCCTCTAATATGCATTTGCAAAAGGGAAGGACTAGAGCGTGTAGAGAAAATTATTCAAGAAATGGCCCAGATTAACCTTACTCCAGATCGAATTGTATATAATGAGCTCATTCATTGTTATGTAGAGCATGGAGATGTTTGCAAGGCATTTGCCTTACATAGTGAGATGGTAAATCATGGATTTACCCCTGACAAGAAGACATATAATAGCTTGATTATGGGCCGGTTAAAAGAGAGAAAGTTTGGGGAAGCAAATGATCTTTTTGATGAAATGAAAGAAAGAGGATTGGTTCCTAATGACGACACTTTTAATACACTAATTGAGGGACATTGCAAATTTAAAGATATTAATGGGGCATACATTTGGTACAGAAAAATGCTGAGAGAGGGTTTTCTCCCAAATGTTTCCATTTGCAAACAGCTAATCTCAGGCCTTAGAGAGCAGGGAAACTTAAAGGAGGCTGAGATTTTATGCACTGATATGAGTGTTAAAGGAATGGATGATTGGAGCGTAGACAAGGATTTTTCTACCGTTGCTAAAATGTAGTCCAGGGACATTTTCGCAGTTCAACATTTGGAAGTATTGCCAAAAAGTAGCACAGGTAACAAATCAATCTTCTGTGCTACAATGAGAAGTATACATGTTGACCAATTTATACACCATTATCATTTATGCTAGCAAAAGGCTGTTGTTATAGTGATGTGCATTTTTGTTGGAAATGAAATTTGAAAATTTATTGTTGTAATAATGTATTTTACAAAATCTGAGTTCTTTTAAAATTTGTTTTGCAGGAATTTATGATTCTTCCTGTTGGAGCTTCGTCATTTAAGGAGGCCATGAAGATGGGTTTGGAAGTATATCACAATTTGAAGATGAGTTATAACTTGAGTTCTTTTGTCCTTTTTACCTGTTTGTTTTATTTCAGGGTCATTAATTTGAATATCAATGAGTTTTCTAACCTAGCGTTCATCGATTGTTGTCTATATGTGTCAATGCTAGCGTTAGGGAATCTTTTATAATTGGACAGTGTAAAACATGCTAAAAACTTGTCAGTCGGTCCTTAAATAGTAATGTTTCTTTGCATGGTTGTGCACCCAATCCTCTATAGATATTTCAAGTCCCAAATCTACTGGATTGATTTTCTGCATTATAACAATTTTTAAGTAGATTATTTAGTTTCATTTATGAATGCATTATCCCAAAGAATTCAAAGTGAGCATCTCTAAGGTTTTTTATGTTAGACATGTTCTTAAATTCCACGCGTATATTGCTAAAGAGTGTTTCTTTTGCTTCTTAATCCTGATCATTAGCCATTTATCCTTATTGACTTCAGGCTGTTATTAAGAAGAAATATGGCCAAGATGCTACCAATATCGGTGATGAGGGTGGCTTCGCTACTAACATTCAGGTTGAACATTTTATTTTGATGGTGTGAGTTTTTCTTCCTTCAATTTCTTCAATATACATTCACGGCATTACGTTTGTTCAATTTTCAGGAGAGCAAAGAAGGTCTTGAATTGCTCAAGACAGCCGTTGCTAAATTGGGTTATGCAGGAAAGGTAAGTTCCTTCTCCCATTTCCTTTTAATGTATGTGTTTGTTTCCTTCAATGTTCTATCATCACCTTGTAATTGGCCTGTCGTGACCTTGTGAAAGAGTTAAACTTGTAAGGCTTGCGTCTTTCTACTGCACAGGTCATCATTGGAATGGATGTTGCTGCATCAGAATTTTATGGATCGGACAAGACTTATGATTTGAACTTCAAAGAAGAGGCAAGTCCTCCTATCTGTTGCTGCTCTGTGATGTAAAGTGCATCCGAAAGCAATAGGGCACAGCGTGGTAATTATAATGCGATAATATTTCATAACTGCAAAATTTATCGCTTTTGCTATGTGTTTGCAGAACAACGATGGCTCGCAAAAAATTTCAGGTGACCAATTCAAAGATCTCTACAAGTCGTTCGTTTCTATCCGATTGTATCCATTGAAGATCAAGATGACTGGGAGCACTTCGCCAAGCTAACTGGTGAAATTGGAGCTCAAGTACAGATTGTCGGAGATGATCTCTTGGTCACCGATCCCAAGGTGTGTATAATTTTCTGAATGCATGGCCTCTGGTGCTCCTGAAATTTAGTTTATTGCCTGGTACGCAGTATATACACTATTTTCTAATTTCTCATTCACGTAATTAGAGAGTCAGAGAAGGCAATTAAAAAGAGAGCTAACAATGCTCTTCTTCTCAAGGTATGAAAATATTTGTTTGCGTCCCTTCCTTAACTCTTTTATTAGCATATTGTTAAATATAACTGCAACATTCTCCTTGGCTAACAGGTCAACCAAATCGGATCTGTGACTGAAAGTATTGAAGCTGTAAAAATGTCAAAGAAGGCTGTGATGGCCAGTCACCGCAGGTATGAAGTTTAGCCCATGTGTCATGATAAAATATATATTTTGGTGAAGAGAACTTACTTTATAATCTGCAGTGGAGAGACTGAAGACACTTATTGCTGATCTCTCTGTCGGAATGGTAATCCTCTTTTATAATGGGGTTCAATCTCTTTACTAGGATCTCCTTTGTAAATTTAAGTATTGAATCTGTTTGTTGGCGAATTTTGCCAGGGCCAAATCAAGACCCGTGCTCTGTGCAGGTCAGAACGTCTTGCAAAGTACAACCCGGTAAAACATTGACTTTGTGAAGGCGTCAATTATCTCAATCAAATTATGAGCCATTCTGATCTAATGGTCCTTTATTAACTCTAGCTTTGAAGCAGAACTTGGATCAGAGGCTGTATGTGCAGGAGCAAGCTTCTGAGCACCTGTTGAGCCCTATTAGATTCGATCAATTCCGAGGCTGAAGACCAGCAGTATGGAGCCTCACTTTAGGCAAATAAATGTCTACCGGCCTGCTTCTGAATAACCACAAAAGTTTTGGAATCATATTTAGCGAGTGCTGAACTAAGAAACGGTTTACAGGCGGAACATCGATCTTTCTATTAGTGAAATTTCAATCTTGTGAATCTATTGTTAATGATTTCATAGTTGCAAGTTAGTGTTTGTCTGTCTTCTGTAATATTAGAAGACATTTGTTTTTTATTTTGTCTAAGATTTTATGGGTGCGGGTGCAGGTGAGGTGCGATCAAATCGATTCTGTATATCGTTATTTTATTACATATTAAGGGTGGATAGTCTACTTCGATAAATTTGGTATGGAAGAAAGAGCGCTAAACTATATCAAATCAGGCTATTAGATCCTATCCGTGATAATCAGACACCTATTTCTACATGGGCCTATCCTCCACTACTCAACTTTGCTCCGTTCGCTACCTCCTTTCTTAATTTGTTTTAATTTGATTTCTTTTTATTTTTTGTCCCAAGTATGACTTATGCATTACACAATGTCTAATGCTCATGTTTTGTTCTCATTTTTCCCTAAAATTACTTTCAATTACACATTTTTTGGAATTTACAATTTTTATCAACTTTCAGACCATATATTACATTTTATCAAATTTTATTGAAATTTTGATTTTCAGCTAAACCAATTAGGGGGTATATTTGAATGTACAAATAATGTTCAGTTTTTTAAGAGCATCTTCAATGCATTGAATTGTAATTTATGTGACAAGTAAGTCATTTGTGTTTTTGTCATCCACCATAAGACTAAAATAAATAAAAGAGAGAGAAAATTCAATGCTCTAAAAAGGGATGCATAGTTAAATAAATTACTAATTCATCATATCTAGATGAGTTTTTTAGACTAGATGGAGACAATGTTGTTTCATCCCCCCCCCCCCCCCCCCACAACCACAACATATCGGGCAAGTTCCTTAAAAATAATACTAATTACTTTAACCAAAATTTTGAATTACTAAAAAAAAAAATTGGTACAGTATTCTTAGCTTAATCATTACTTAAAAATATCGTGCAAGTTCCTTTATAAAAAAATAATAATAATAATAATAATAATTAAAATTAAATTCTGCTGGCTATGGGGTTCGAACCCATGCGCACTTATGTGCAGAAGATCTTAAGTCTTCCCCCTTAACCTCTCGGGCAAACCAGCTGTGTGCTTCACATTCGACCTTTAATGAATAACAGTAAAGAATTGCAGTATTCGCTATATCATGCCAAAAGCTCACAAGCCCTAACCCAGAACGATAGAACCCCTCTCGTTCTTCCATATGCGAATCCTAGAAGTTGAAGAAAATGGCGGAGCATTTGGCGTCGATTTTCGGGACGGAGAAGGACAGGGTAAACTGCCCGTTCTACTTCAAGATTGGGCCTGCCGTCACGGGGACCGGTGCTCTCGCCTTCACACTAAGCCGAGCATCAGTCCAACCATAGTGCTTGTCAACACGTATCAGCGCCCTGACATGATCATTCCCGGAGTCGATCCCCAGGGCCAGCCTCTTCACCCTAAGCAAATCCAGAACCATTTTGAGGTAAAATTCTCGTTCGAAATGCCTGGTTTATTTTATTTGAATGATCTGTTGTGCGTGTGATATGTGTGAGAGATTCAGTTAAGATTCTTTGGATGCATTGAGCTACATGTCAATTGTTCTGCATTTATTTTCTTAGAATTGGTATAATTATGTTTTACAATGTATTCAGGTATAGGATTTGAATATTTTGCCACTGGGATTTCTAAGAAAGTGTGCGCGCACTCTGGTGTGATATCATAGTGAGAAACAACAAGGAGAATCACTATTTAGGGATTGTGTGGTCAACTTATTAAAAGTAGATGTGAGAAGCCAATTATGTTGTTCAAGATTTGCTCATCAAAAAGTTGTTTTCTGGAAATATGGTAATCATCATCTTGTTTTGATATTCGAGGTTTATGAGCAACCATGAATTGTAGTGATAGACAACGAAAAGGAAAAATCATAGCTTTAGCGACTGCGTGGATTTCTACGAAGGAAAAATCATAACTTTATTGAATTGTTTGCTTTTTAACATACAGTATTTCTATCAAGATTTGTTCAAGGAGATGAGCAAATATGGAGATCTTCAGAACCTCAACATCTGCGATAACTTGGCTGATCGCATGGTTGGTAATGTTTACGTCCAATTTAGAGAGGAAGACCATGCTGCCAGTGCACTTCAGAATCTTAATGGAAGGTTTTATGCAGGCTAGTTCTATTCATTTTGTTATACAATCATTTATCTCGAACAGATGTACTGGTTTGTCTCAATTCTTTTAGTTTGCGGATAAAGAAATAGTAATGGTGTTGCTCGAATCATTTATCTCGAACAGATGTACTGGTTTGTCTCAATTCTTTTAGTTTGCGGATAAAGAAATAGTAATGGTGTTGCTCGAATCATTTATCTCGAACAGATGTACTGGTTTGTCTCAATTCTTTTAGTTTGCGGATAAAGAAATAGTAATGGTGTTGTTCGTCTGCTTATAATCTGATCTAGAACTAGATCACCCTCCAATAGTATTTAGTCCATTTGCTGCGACAAAGGGTCAAAACTATTAATATTATTATCATCATCATCATCATCCTTTTTTCTCATTTTTTGAGGGGTTGTGGGAGGATGAAGCACTTGGGTGTTATAAGGTTGTCAATCCCTGATATCCAATAAATATACCTAGTAATGTTCCAAGCTCTAATGGCTTTTGTATAATACAATGAGTAATTTGATCAAAGAGTGACATGACAGGACATATTTCACGAGCTAGTTCAAGAAAATTTTGGCTGTATATGATAAATTTGATAGAAGTGTAGATATACAAGTTCTCGACTCATGATTAGGTGTGCTTGTTGGAAGTAGTTTACAATTGAGCTGCTCTGGTGAAAAAGGATCAGGTTCTCAAAAGTTGCAGACCTAGATTTTTAAGAAAATGCAAAGAAATGTCCTGTTTCATATTTACCTACTAAATTTTTCACTCTATTAATTTGTCTTGAATCTCTTTGTAACATTAGCAAGAGTTACATTTAATTAATATTGTCTGCTTGGTTACATTGACGCTTATGGTAATAAATTTTGAACTATATAGGGCGTCCCATTATTGTTGACTTCTCCCCTGTGATGGATTTCCGTGAAGCCCCTGGTAGAAAATATGAGGAAAATGAATGCAATGGAGGTGGCATCTGAAAAAGATAAGCAGGTTAGTTTGAATTCGAAGCGTTCCCTTGCCTTTTGCCGTGTCAGTTGCCATTTCATGTTTTTTTTTTTTTTTTTTTTTTTGGGTTGAAGAGAGCTGAGGAGGAATTTATTTGGGAGGAGTAGACGAAGGCACGGACACAGTAGAAGCAGAAGCCGAAGTCCTCGCTCCCATGATTATGAGGAGCATTCACGTGGTGGCCATGGTTTTGGAAGAAGAAACGACCGCCACCATGATAAAGGCTGGAGACCTAGAAGAGAAGTCTTCATCGCCAAGGTGGATGAAGCAGAAGCCCTGGGGGCAGGAGAGACAGGAGTCCAGTTCGGGAAAGCAGTATCGAGAGAAGGGCAAAAATAGAGCAGTGGAATAGGGAAAGAGAGCATGCAGAATCTGCCAGGGATAACGTCAATGACAATAGCAATGGCTTTGAACACAGTGAAAATCAGTCTAATCACAAGAATGGATGGTCACCGGAGCAGGGGACTGGATATTATAACCTCTGATCAAGTGGCTTTCAGCGTTCATGGTTTGTTCTCTTGTTCTTTTTCAACTAATATTGTCTGCCATGATCTTTTTTTATTATCCTTAGGAGAAATTTCTTTTGCTAAACTTGGTTTGTTAGGATTAAAGTTCATTTTCCTGGGATATCATTCTCATTTCTCTGTTTACTGAATACCAATGAAGCTTTGATGGTTGGAAAAAGCATCACACTTCTCATTTCTCTCATTTCTTGTGCCATCCTTAGTCTATGGTTTTAGGATGTAATAAGGAAGTATCAACAGGATCGTACTTGCTGCTATATCATTACCTTGTTAAAAGACCAGAGAAATTCAATGATTCTCTGTTTTTTTTTTTTTTTTTTTTTTTTTTTTTTCTTTTTTCCTTCAAATATATGTTTCATATTTTGACTAATCCAATGGAATTCTTTATTTTGAACAAAAAAACATACTGGCCTGTGTCTTAAATATTTCAAAGATTATCTGACTTCTCTGCCTCCAGGTCAACCACCTTCTGTTCTATGCCTTCATCTATACCTTTTTCCCAATTATTTCCGAAACGTATTGATGGAGATCCTTGATATATTGGAGGACTATTTATTGAAAGAATTGCAATAGATTAGAATAAGAATTATTTTACAATTATATAGAGTGATTTTCCTTAATTCTTTTTCATTGTAAGCCAACTTTTTATGAATTGAATAAATACTGTGTACCTATAAAAAGTGGTACTGTGCTTGTGGAAACTGTCCAGTAATCAGAGATGAAAAAGCAGACCCAAGTGCTTTACGGCTTCCTCAAGATATGTTCAGATAACTCTTTACAGCTACAACCTAATTTCGCTCAATGGTTAGAAAACATATACTATGAGGTTCGGCAATTTTTTAATTAATCTAGGTAGGTAT